ACGTTATTTTTGTATACTCTTATCCAAATTGGAAAAAAGAAAATTGTTTTATTTTAAACATGAATCAAATAGAACTATAGCACAACTGATCAAGTTACATTCCATAAGTTTAAAAATAATCAAGAACAAAGAAGTTGTGTAGCGAAACAAAACAAATATATGTATCAGACCTGATGAGATCGATGGGTAAACTAAATTAGAACATTATGAATCATGTGCTATAAAATATGGACCATCCAAAGTTCAGAAAGACTGACAAGAATTTACACATGTAAGGTTGCATCAAAACGTACAGTCTTACAGATATAATTTTCCTCTTTCCCAGATTGCATTGTCCTTCCTTACTCTTGTTTTCTTATGGGAAAGAAACAGCTGAGTTTTGCCCGCAAAGTATTTGAAGTTAATTGTCGACTTTTAAGTCAAAATATTCTCGTTCAGTTCTGGATGAGAAAAAAAAAAGTGGAAGATTTAGGGAGGTTTAGCTTCATTACTAATTTATCCACAAAAACAAAAACAAAGATGATTGGGTTTATTATTTTAGATATAAAAATAGCTTACTTCAAGTCTGATTTCAAGAAGAAAGACTTTCATAAAACGAGATATATTATTATTTTGTCATTCATAATCAATAACCTTATGACATACGCGATAACACTTTCATATAACATAGCATAATTGCGCTATCTCTTTTACAACTAAGTTTTTCAAGAGCTCCCATGAATATAATAATGTTTAGTACAAACCCTAGTTGTTTGCTTTTGAAGATAAAAGGCCCGACCCGACCAAAATATATACAAGGTACACATATATTATTGAACAAACGAACCGTACACGAGTTATCATAAAACAAGAAAAAACAAATTAGTTAATTAATAATTAGCATAAATAAGACAAATTAGCTGGATCTGAATTCTAATGCATGTGTTGGGGTGAGTGAATAGTCAGCTCTCGTTGGGTTGGTATTTGGGTCGGTTTTTGAAAGCCGCACATCAAATTTGTTGGTTTTGCCGGAAAATCAACCAATGCACACGGACCATAAAGTATATTCCAACCTCGCGATTTCTAAGGAGCTGCCATGCACATGACACGTGGGTACCTGCTCAGATGCCATCTATCACTAACGGCACTTGCACGTGGGAACACACTCTAATGTATGAGAATGAGAATCAAACTTCAGTGCAAAAGGACGAGTACATTGATTTGGCTAACTAACCTAACTTATATCTACTTGTTTACAAAATTATGGGTAAAAAATTCCGACTTAGTTCCTATAACAATTTAATGCTTTTGGAGTTCACTAGTTTTCCAATGTAATGTGTAGAGTTCGTGATTCGAAATCTCTAACTTCCTTCCTCATTAATGTTTAATTTAGGTTACACACACCTGTTTATATATAGTATTTCTCTTTATGTACATAATTTGGCAACATAAGAAGAGAAGTATTAACTTATTATTATACGTTAATTTTCACTCACGTCTTAATATCTTAAACTTTTGAGATTTAGCACTTGTCTAATGATTGAAATGGTTTGAAATTGTGTGAATCAAATACAATTATCTCATATATGATAAGGGACCATCCAATCTTAAATATAAATTTACTATGATCTTTTGAGATAAAATCACACTTAAAAACACCCAATGCTGTTGAATTTTACAACATTTATCATTAAGAGTGAAACTTCAATTTTGCACATCATATTACCCTTGATCAGTTGCCCTTACATAGTAATTTATTTTCATCATTTTACTTTTGACCATTTAAATCCAATTATATAATAGAAGAACCCAGGATTAGAATTCGGAAACATGGAGAGCAAAAACGTATATTAAAGCGTAAATTGCCTTTCACCATGATGAAAATGGTTCATAATTTCTAACAAGTTTCATCATTTGTTGCATGTTTCATCATTCGGTGCATAGAATAGCCGCGAGGCTGCTTAGAAAATTGAATCCAAGAGAGTCAACACTACCACACACACATTTAAAAAAATAAAAAAATAAAAAAAATAAAAAATCATCTTTCTCTATTGTCCTTTTCTATTACATACAAACCGTGCCCACCTGAATATTTTTATATATAATCTAGAGGGTTCCAAAGATAATTACTTACCCATTTTTTCTTCTTAATTTCATAACTAATCATAATTAATGCACCAGGTGCATAATCACTAGGAAAATAGGTAGCCTAGGCTCCTCCCCACGTGTCTAGAATTGATCTGTTCAATTGCTTGTTTTGTTTCATGAAGCATGTGACTGAGGTTCCTCATAGCTTTTTGGGTTCATATATAATCACTTCATTAAGAGACCAAAATGGTCTGATTAGATAGAGAGCTGGTTTAATCAACTTTCTTTTTTCCAAACATAATTAGTTTAGGAACACTGGTACAAGAATTTGTCTGCCCTGGGTAAAGAAACCAGAATAAATTCTAGTTGCTAGCTAGCTACCTCACATTTCCATACAACTCAGCCGTGGGCGGGTTCAACTAGATTTATAGGCTTATCCCTTGTTTATATAACTAATTCCTTTTAAAATATTCTGAAGGCGATAGTATACTAAACTCACGCACACTTCACAGATGCTATGACTCGAATTCAAGACCTTGTCTGAAGGAATAAATACTTCAAACCACTACACTAGTGAGTCATTTGCACGCTATATATTTTTATAATGCCATAAAAACAGCAAGATCAAGATGTACCCCTACATGGCCTACTCTAAGCAGTACCAGCTATATGCAAAATTACTAACACTCCACTGAGAAATAGCCATACATGGTTTAGATTAAACATGGTAACGAGCTAGAGCCTAATCTAGATTTCCATCGTCGCGATATCATTTGTCTAAATGTGTTGTTTAGATTCACAATTCGATAATATAAAATTATGTCCCGCATCATAAGTTTGCTAAGTAATGATGGACAACTCTTATTTATGAATGCATATATATCATGTAGCTAAAAAGACTAGTTTCCTTATGAAATAGGGAAGGATTCTATTACCGGATTGAGTGCCTCACAACATAAAATATTTAGACCCTGAATTTAGACAAATAATTTGATTGATTTTCATCGTAACGTGTTTAACTGTGAATTTAGATCATTGAATCGACTGATGGAGTAGTTATCCTTTTGCGGCCGTGTGTGTTTTTACACAAGACGTGTTGTGGCAACAATCCATTATTATTATTAGACTTTAGACATAGAAACAAAATCTCAAAAAAGCTGCGAAGTCAAACCTGTACCACCGCCATTTTGGATGGGGCTGTATGTCGCCACCTTCAAATCATAGTTTTTATTCAGATTCCCAGATTACCTACCAGGAAATTTGCTAATACAAACAAAGGGTCATAATAGTAACAACAATGAAAATGAACACCAACACTTTGTCCTCTTTGGTAATTCAACGACGCCCACGCCCCCAAAAAAGCAAAAAAAAAAAAAAAACAAGAAGAAAACCCTACATGCACAAAAAATGCCCCATATGTCGACTGCCAAATAATGCATTGATCGTATAAGCCAAAACAGCCACACAAATAAATAACTATATATAGCCCCCAAGGAAGGCTATGTATATTATTATTATTCATGAAATACTTAAAAAAAACCCACAAAGATAATGCCAAAATAAGTCTTTAGGTTAGTACCAATATACTAATATGCAAAGGTATTTAGGATTTAATTACATTTGTATTCTAATAGTACCGATGACTACCCGAGAAAAAAGATTTCATTGAAGAATTTCCATGTCTGATGACATATATTGTTCAGTTAAAATATGTCATGTGTTATAAATTTCAAATTTTAACTAAATAGTATTAAACACTTCACTTGAAAATGTCAAAGAAGTACATATATTGGTGAGGCAAGAAGGCAAAAACCTTAACATTATACCTAATCCTGAAACTAAAAAAGGAAGAGAATGGGCACGGGGAAGTGCTTCTAGAATGGGCATGTGGGAAGTGCGTCTAGAGTGGTCATATGGCAACTAAAAGCGTTTCTTATATCGTTTGACAGAAAAATTTAGAAGAGTTCATGGGTCATGTAAGTGATTTTTAGAGAAGCACTTGTTATATGCTTTTTTAGAAAGCACTTGGCTTTTCAAAAAAAAAAATACTTAAATTTTTTAATAATAAAAATGCAAAATATTTATAATAAAAACGCTTTTATTAAAAGATGTACTTCATAAAGAAGCAATCTCAAACGAAATAGATTCTTAAAACTAAATTAGATGAATAATTATAAGTAAAACGAGGCCCACCAACTCATTTGAAATTTGTGAGCTCAGCCAAATTTTGGAGGCATTGATGCATGGGACCCAATTCAGCCATTTTTCTCACAAAGAGAGAAAAGAGAGAGCAGAGAGAGAGGAGAGAAAGAGAGAGGGTGGTGGATGTTAATGCCCAATTAATATCACTGAGCTCAAGCATACAAGGAACCTGACAGAGTCTTTGATGCTAACCCCATCCTTCACGGTTCAGACAGAAAGTGAGGGTCAAAATTTTCCGAGCATAACAATTAAATATTTTGTTTGTTTGATTGCAGAGATTTCGGTGAAAAAGACTTTAAATCTCTCCCCTTCCATAGCTAATAGTTTTCAGTCCAAGGCAGTTTTTTTCGAGTGCCAAAATAATCGAGTTAAAAAATGTCACGTGTTCAAATAATTTTTTATTTTTTAAATAACGTATTATATCTGAATTGTGTTGTTTTGTCACTCAACGCCGCGGCATGACACAAACCCTATTCAAGTTTTTCTCTACCCTATAGGCATAAGCAAGAGTGTGAACAAGATGAGAAACACAGAGAGAGAGAGGGGAAAAGGTAGATTCCGTATTAATGTTAGGCTTCAGACAAAAATAAAATAAAATAAAAGAATAAATCTTAGGCATTAGGGTCCTAATAAAGAAACATAATGTACACTGTAATGTATTATAATAATGGAACTAGCCTTTTCTGCTTGCTCCTATATAAATGTTCCACTTGGTGCATCTTCTTGTTATCAGGGCACTTACCTAATTAGCAGCATAAACATTCCCAAGAGAAATAGAGAGAGAAAAAGAAGAAGAAAGAAATGGAGCTCAGTGAGCATAGTTTCTTAGAGGAGCTTTTAGCTCTAAGAAGAGACAGTACATGGGAAACCATTCCAACAGAAATGAATGAGTTCTTGTCCAGTAGTGGCAGTTGGGGTAATTTTGGTTACCTTGATCAAAACCCTCCAACTTTCTTCCCAAACTCTTCTTGCACCCAAGAATTCTCACCTCCATTTGAGCCAAACTTAAGCAACTGCTACAACAACAACACCACCACCTTCAATGAAGTCTACTATCCCTTAGGCTTTGGTGCTGGTGAAGATGGCCTCTCAGCTCAACAGCAGCTCACTGACTCATCCTACAACACACTCGATACGCCGCCGTTTCCGGTCCAAGAAGACAATCCATGGTCCATGCTTGAAGAAGAAGAGTTGGGTTTGCTTGGGGATGAAATACACAACTTGGAGACCCAAGCTGAAGCAGCCTGCAAAATGGAGCCAATTCAGTCCCCTGATCAAGTCCCAGTTTTCAACATGGGGATGTGTGAGGAGAGAAATAACAGGGGTAATAGCAAGAAGTTGCAGGGGCAGCCTTCAAAGAATCTAATGGCTGAGAGAAGAAGAAGAAAGAGATTAAACGACCGCCTTTCAATGCTAAGATCAATTGTGCCCAAGATAAGTAAGGTAATTAAATCACTCTTCTGCCCAAATTTGCAGAATGCATGTATGTAAAATATGATTAGTGTTGAGTATGAAGGCTAATTTGGTCAATTTGGTAGATGGACAGAACATCTATACTTGGAGACACCATAGATTACATGAAGGAGCTCCTGGAGAGAATCAACAATTTGCAACAAGAAATTGAAACAGATGCAGATCAGTTAAATGTGATGAGCCTTTTCAAGGATGTGAAACCAAATGAAATGTTAGTGAGAAACTCACCAAAGGTATGTACTCTGCTTCAACCACTTCACTTTTAGACCCTCAAATAAAAGCTCAAATTAAAAATAATTATATATATATATATATCCCCAAAATCTGAATGGGACATTAATTTCTGTTTGATTTGTTTGCAGTTTGATGTGCAAAGGAGGAATGTGGACACCAGAATTGACATTTGCTGTGCAGGAAAGCCAGGGCTGTTGTTATCTACTGTGTCTACCTTGGAAGCTTTAGGTCTTGAGATTCAACAGTGTGTTATTAGTTGCTTCAATGATTTTGCAATGCAAGCTTCTTGCTCAGAGGTATGCAATTGGCTTTTTTGCTTTCAGAGATGCCCACAATGGCATTGGGTTTTTCTGCTTTCCACCAACATATATAATCTCTTTGTTTAGTTGGAGAAGTGTTGAATTAATGTTCTCTTGTGTTCATTGATGTCATGGAAACAGGATTTTGATCAGAGAACAACAGTAACTTCTGAAGACATAAAGCAAGCACTGTTTAGAAATGCAGGATATGGAGGAAGATGTTTGTAATTGCAAGAACAAATGGGATAGGGAAAGTAAGATGAACTCTGTGATAAAGTTTTTGAGAAGATGGCTTCTTTTTTCTTTTTCTTTTTCTTTCCCAAATCTTGGATTCTCAATGAGGGTTGCAATTGAGAGGTTGTAATTGTCTTTCTTTAATAAATAATTTTCATGGAGTACAATTTTCTTCAATGTATTTTGTATTCCTACACTCCCAAGAGGAGAAAGAGAGTATCCTTTACATTTAAATTTAAATTCAAGTGCCCAAGATTTCTTTTGCATACATGAGCTTAGCCAAATTGGCTAAAACATACGTGTTCCTCACTCTACACTCGAGTTCGAATCCCCTTCTCCGTAGTTAAGATTAATTTAAAGTACAATATCACTTATACAAAAAATAAAATAAAAATTGAAGTGCCCAATAAAAATACTCAAACTAGAAGAGCCATGTTGAAGTGAATTGACACAACCAACTTCCCTTTGGTGATATGTTGGTTGTTGATTGATTACAAATAAAATTGGATAGAGAAAAGGATTGATGCTGTAAAAGAAAAGCTTTCTATGGATGTAGTTGCCTGCCAGCTGAATCTCATGTCGTTATATTTTGCATATAAAGAGCGGATGTAGACAAATTATTCTTATTGTTTAATTTTCTTTGGCCTTTTCTTTTTGTTGCATTGGGAAAGAAGGGGTAGGAAGGAAATAGACTTTTGCCTCCCATCTGTGACCAATTAAAGGTTCAATTCAAGTTTTCACAGCCACTAACTTTTGCAGAAGTTTTCTTATCTTTAAACCCATGCACATAAATTTTACAAAGAAAGCACAACCGCATAATGAGCACAGAAATTCATGGTAAACAAAATGAAAATATAGATTTTGACCTGTAAGTAGTATATATATAATTATTTTGTTTCTACATCAGTGCCCAGATTTATCTTGTGGAGTAGACAAGACAGTACCAAAAGCAAGTTTGCTATGTGTATTTTTCCAAAAACAGAGCCTGCATTTTTCATCCATATATCTCAAAAACAGAGCAAATTTTCTAAGTTCAAGATTCAAAAGTCACCTTTTACAAATTTGCTTGTTGAGACTTGTTTTTATTAATTTTGTGAAAAAAATTAATTAATTACATGCTTTCTAAGAAAATAGCCTAGGCCACATGCTCAATCCCCTCCTCACAATGTCCGTGACTATATCCAACACCAAATTCATTTTCATTGGCAGAAATAAAATGCATATTATGTGATATGACTTGTTTAAAGACATAGTGACTATATAGATATGAGAACAAGTATGTCTTAGTGTCAATTAAATGCTTTCTTCCATGTACGGGATAATATGTGATATCCAATGCTACTTAGTTAAGTTATTGGAGGATACTAAAAGATTAGTAGCACATTCCAGAAAAAATAGAAACGGTTTGTATCTAAAATAGAAAATGTTTTTAGTAATTTCTTTATGATTGGTCTGTATCCTTTTTAGCGTTGGCAGTGCCAGTGATCTCGCTAATAGGGCGATCCCATATGCGTGAGACAAGCTTGGTAAGCAAGATCGTTATGAATAAGTCCAAGAATGTCGTAACCAAATTTTCCCATGTTGTTCTCATTATTCGGAAATCAATTTCGGAGGAGGCCTGCTTAACGAAATACATCAGTGAAATTGATATAGTGCACTGATCTTCTGGGCGTGTGCACACATATGTTACCTAATGAATAAAGTCCAATTCTTGTGTAGAGATTGGCTCATCTAATTCCTCGACCACCCTAATGTGATGCATCTTCATGTGATGCATCTTCATATGCTTTGTCAAGAAATTTTGAATCTAGCCCATAATTGCCTCTTCAAATCAAAAGTCTACTTATGAACCAATTTAAGATTCTTGTTTTAGAGCTTCTTCAGACTTGTATTGTCTCCTAATCATCTCGTATAGAACTTTGCTTATTTATAAACACATGTACATAAATTTTATAAAGAAATCACAATCACATAATGAGCACAAAATTTCATGGTAAACCAAATAAAAATATAAGATTTTGAAATATCCATAGCTTCAATTGAAGGATTCCTCAAATAAGTTTATTTTTATTTGAGGGGCACCTTTGTAGGGCCCACCACATATTGTAATTCAATGATACGAACTATCTAGTTTTTAGATATTCCCTCAAAGATCATCCTTGCAAAAATCACTTGAATCTAAAACCATTTGACCACTTAATTCAATAGTTGTTATTATATTATTTTCTTGAAAAACTGTGTTCGACTATTTTGTTGATCCCAAATAGATGCTTTAATGATTTTCAAATTGCATAATTTTGTAAGGATGATTTATGAGTGTGGACTTGAAAAATAGACGGCTTGAATAGATGTAAAAAAATCATAAAGGGTGTCCGACAAATAAAAATATTTTAGGGATCCCTCAATAGAATATATAGCTTGTAGATTAGGTAGTACCAAAGGCAAGTATACCATCAGTGCCCGCATTTTTCATTCATATATCTCAAAATAAGAGCAAGTTTACAAAGTTCGAGATTCAAGAGTCACCTTCTACAATAGGTTAACAACCAAAACCTTCAATACAACCATTAATTTTTGCTCACGGGATTGGCTTGAAAGATCTTCAGCTAAGCGTAGTTCACACTCTGGCAGAAATGCCTACTACAGTTCTTCCAAATCTACTAATAATGGATAGATTTGGCAGCCCTGTTTTCAAGTTCCCAAATGCAAACTAAAATCATAAATTCATGGCCCTTCATGGTACCCTTGAGGGGAAACAATCTTAACCACACCTACATGTTGTTTTCTGTGAAGACCACAGATGGTAGGGCTTTGAAACTTCCATCTGTAGGGTCTGTTTCCTCTAAAGCCCAGATGATACTTCAATATGCATGCCTCTTGGTGCAAATTGACAGTTTATATGGATAGAAGGTTCAAACATTTGAAAGTACATTGTTCAATGATGCCAAAATTCAAGTAGCAATTAGAGATTTATATGGATATTAATGATGTATGGCTGTGAAGATCTGAGAAAAATTCAACCAATTTTGCAAGGGAATATCCATAGTGCAACAGTCCAGGAAAAATTTATCTTATACTAGTTTAAGGGTGTCGGTGTAAGTGGCTCGATACAAGTCATGATGTGTAAGTCGCACATCGAAGAATACAATAATAATTTACAGTTTAAATATAGGTGTTCCACTCCTAATTACACCGAGACATTTGTGATAAAACCCCATACCTAGAGATCCATTGAACCTAACTCAACTTAATAATTGGACTTAGGTGATTAAGATGGGGAGAATATCGATCCATAATTTGGACAAGTAATGGACTCCTATTGGGGCCGTTCACACAACAAAGGGAATATCCATTAGTGCCTAAAAAGAATGAAAAAAAGTAATTTGTGTAAAATTATTGTGCTGATATTTTCTTTCAATTGTTAAATCTGTCCTTTCCCACCATGCCTTATTTTTCTCCTTTACGGTATCAGAGGGAGGTTTGATTTGCATTGACATGATCTTCAACTCACTTTGCCAATTTTAAAGGGCAAGAATCTTTTGATAAGACCAAAAGAAGAGGAAGGCCCAATTATGCACCTTTATGTGCTTCAAACCATAAAGCTTGCAATAAAAGGAAGGAGCTCAGACATTTCCAGAGAGTATCTAGGAAGGTGCCAAGATATTTCCCTAAATCTTTCTTTGAACACCAACACATACGCTTTGTATGTCCAATAAAGGATACTACACTGATTCATCTGGAAGCAAAGGCTCTACTATAATGATGGGTACGATTTCGTATGTGAATTTTCTAAATATCAAATACATGGGCGATTGTGAACCGTTGAATTCCTGTTATAAAACCACATATTGTTACAAGCATGTTGCAGTCCAAATATGCTTACAATTTGCTTAATGCAATATGAAAGTTTCTTTACAAAAGCAGTCCAATATATTTAGGCCCAAAAAGTACGAAATAGGGCTTTTTTCAGCTTGATCGGATTGATTCTATGATTGAATAGCAGAAGTGCTAGTAGAAACTTGGTTCTATAAAATAAATTGGAGATAGGTTTTTTTTCCCCTTCTTTTGGGTTAAAGGTGAATTGTATTAATTTCTATTTTGCAAAAGCAATCACAATTTTTATGTTCACGGTAAACTATTAAATTTATTTATTTTTAAAAAAATGGAAAACTTGTGTGAGAACCTCTTTTGTGATTACCAAGAAACTAGCTAAGACTCACTTTTATGGAAAAACAAAAGCCCAATCATGGAGAAAATGTTGAAACTCCTTTCCACCAGGAGGTAGGATATTTGCCAATTTTTCCTTCTTCCCAGAATTGTGCAAAATGACATGACTCTAGCATCCACCACAGTATGGTTTTTACTTTTGTGTTACTTATTTATTTACTGCTAAGGAAAAGTTAACCAAACATCCAAGAAAAAACAATCACAAAAGTTCAAATTTTATAACATAAACCAACAAAATAAAGTAAAAAGTAGACACATTCAATCTAATTTTTGTTGGATAACCCCAAATAGGAGCCGCACTATGTCCTGTCCATGGATTATCTATTTCACCATTATTTAACTTGTCATACTTGAAAGAAGAAACAAAAAAGTGTACCTCATCTTCATAGCTAGAAGGAATCTCATATTTATCTAATTTTTTGCAAAGACGATGCTAGATTTATCGTCACTGAATAAATAAAAGCAGCTCGTAGGCAAAAGTAATTTATCGGTCACTTCACTTTGTTCCAAGTGCTAAAGTGGGTTTGACATATTCCTGTATATTAAAAAAAGAAGTAAATGTTGCTAAGTCATAGTGCACTCCATCAAAAACTTTTACAAGGGTTTCTGTAATTAGCTTTATAAGCACCTGTGCTTAACAACATGATTACAAAGCAAAAGCAATATCAAAACTGAGGAGAGTTGATTTGTAATTGTGTAGCTCACAGTGTGCAAGAGAATGTAGAGTAAATAGGGCAAACGAAAGACCTATGAATGAGACTTGTTTTTATTAATGTTCTAAAACGAAGGGCCATGCTCAATCCATTCCTCACAATGTACGTGACTATAGTCCAACACCAAATTCATTTTCGTTGGCATATATAAAATGCATATGATGTGACATGACTAGTTTAAAGAGATTAGTTAGGAAGGATGCAGATATGCGAACAAGTATGAATTAATATCAATTAAATGCTTTCTTCCATGTAATGGATAATTTGTGATATTCAATGGCATGTTGCTTCAATTCTGAAGATTTAATCAAGGTATTGGAGGATACTAAAAGATAAGTACCGGTTTCTAAGAGAATTGTCAGCGTCTAAAGGTGCATGCTTGAAATTGAGGTTGCAATCCAGTTTACAACAGTTAGAGATTTTAAGTGGTTTATGGCGAGGGCAGATGCAGGAGTTTTGCCTCAAGCAGTCAACGCCTAGAAGTTCATAAGTTTTTCGTAGGATAAAAAATACTCTTTTTTTTTTTTTTTTTTCTTTTTTTTCCAGAAGGATAAAAAATACTCTAAACAAGTAAAGTATTCTACTCTTCATAATAAAAACTTTATTTTGTGAAAACTACGTTTCCTTCTTCTTTTTTATTAAAGTTCCTCTTGAGAACTACCGTTTAGGTTGTTGGCAGATGATTTGTTGAGTACTCTCCTAATCTAACTTGACTTGCTTTGTTTCATACCATCCAATCTCAGCTTCAACTTAATATAAACATTTTTTGTATTTTTCATTTTATCAGCAACACCCTTTCATGAATTTCTTGCACATTATGGGAAATTTGACTGTCATTTCTCCTTTGCCGTGCATTATGTGATGTGTGTTATGGATGAATGAAACAATTCAATTTCTCCATCGAATTGTTTGTTTCACATAATATTATCAGAGAATTAGACCAAATCTAAGAACCATTATGCCTTTAAGGGTGGCAGAGGAGAGCTCAGAGGCCCTTCAGTTGGGGCATTTTGCTGAGCTTTGGTGGGTAATTGAGGGTTGCCCACCAATTTCCATGAGATCAACATTTAAGCTGCCATGTAAGTTTTCCGAGATTCATGGGGTCAAGTCACCCTATTTATCCCTTAATGCATCCGTCCCTGGTTGATAGGGTATAAGGTTTAAGAATGGAGTATTGGAGGGTAAATGAAATACTATTGTATCCAATTTTTATGTTTGAAAACCTAATCCAAAATAATGTGAATTATAAGAAAAAAGAACCTCAGTCCAATTGAATGACAAATCAAGTTTTCGTTCTAGTTAATTTGCGACCTTCTCAATAGCAAAGCTACACATTGTGTTTACCAAAATCACAATCCCGATGGAATATAAACCAAATGATTCCTAAAATTATGAAGCTACGAATATCAACTATGTTTCTTTTACTTTATGAACATCAAATCATTTTCTTGATATTTATTTGCAAGCTAATAATATTTCTTTAAGAACTGGAAACATAAAAATGCGAAGTCTTAAAGTTAGAGTCCTCCTCTGCCAATTTTGAAGGCGATTCTAAAGTTGTAATCCAAACCCTAAATCATCAGATCCCACCTCCTTGGCATTTTCAGACACTTATTCAACATATTTGGTATCTACTACATGGTGCTCATCCTTGTTCTTTACATCATTCCTATCGTGAAACTAACCAAGTGTGGCTGACAAACCCTTCCTGGCCACGATGTTGAAAGGGCGTATAGGGCGAAATAGCAGAGGCTTCTGGGTTGCCATATATGCCCACACTCCAGTTAGATCTATTTGTGTAATATTTTCTTATTTCAAAAATATATATATTCCAATTTATCTATTAAAAAAAAAGTTTGCAAGTAAACAATTCAATACCCTTAGGAAAAATTCAAAATTCATCACTTTCAATTTTGTAGCAATTAAAATTTCAAGTTTTAGACAAAGCCAATGTTAAAAATCCATGTATTACTATTGACAATCTTTCAAATAAATCCATTGATGTACCCAACAAGAATTCCATAATGAGGGCCTCATCTAAGCCGTTGGATCAAATGAGTTAATTTGATTCAACCGTTAAGATATATGACCTCATCTAAGACACTCACTAAAGAATAACTCATGTACCCAAATCCAACTGGAACATGTTCAATGCACATGAGTTGAATTTACGTGGGTTTTACAAATGAGACTCACATCTAAGAACTTTAGTGACCCAAGCAAGTATGGGCCACAACCAAAAGAGCTCAATTAGGATTATTAAGTGAGGTAACCATCTAAGCTAGAGATGGGCATTTCGATCAACAAATCGGTGAAACCGGCCGGATCAAACCAATTGGTCTGGTTTGGTCTAATTTTCTGTTTTTCAATGTTAAACCAAACCAAATTAGCTATTCTGGTCCAGTTTGCGACGTGAAGAACTGCAAACCATCGGTTCATCTAAACCAAACCGGTTTGCATAAATGTTAATATATTTAAAAATTGGAGTTAGTCGAACTCAAACCCCTAATCTCCAACATACATTCTCAGCGCCAACCACCAAGGTAACAAGTTATCTTGTGTTAAGTATGTATAACTAATATCAGTTGCACCAAAACTTAAAAAAATATATATATAAATGTTAGGGTTAAACACTCAATCTCTTGCACCGTTTCAGTTCAGATGTCTTTGTCTCTCTCTCTCTCTCTCTCTCTCTCTCTCTCTCTCTCTCTCTCTCTCGATACACGCACATGTGGGTTTTAGCTCTCGCCAACACGTCCCACCCTTTCTCCTCAGATGTCTCTGTCTCTCTCTCTCTCTCTCTCTCTCTCTCTCTCTCTCTCTCTCTCTCTCTAGCCACGCAGATATGGAGTTTAGATCTCGCTACCACGATGCACGCCGTCTTTATCGTGTTCATAAAAAACTGGAACCGAATCTAACCCGAACTTTTCGATTAATCGGGATTATCGGGGTCTTCTGGCGCGGTGGTTCGGTGTGGGTGTCAAAAAGTCCTCCACCGAGGCTTTCAATTAGGTATGCAGTTTTGGCCTAAACTCGCAGTCACCAGACTAGCAAACCATGTTTATCGTTTTTTGAAATTGAACCTCAATCTGATTTATAAGCTTCTTCCTGAAAAATATTCGAGCCACTTGTCAATCTCGCAAGCAAAATAATCTAGGGGACTTATTAGGAACCTCCATAATGGTTTCAACTGTATAATTAATTAGGTCCAAATCCTATGGGTCCAATATCATCTTTTATTTGGACTTTGTGGCAAGCAACTTCCAACGGACTTAGATTCTAATCTAAATTATAAAAGTGGTAGCCCTGTGTCATAAGTGGAAGTGGGAGTAGTAGAGCTCAATTAATTGAAGTTGGGACAGACAAGGACCTAATATTTTTACAGTCCAATCATTCAATCCATCTTTTTATTGGATAACCCCAAAATGAGCCGCACTATATCCTGTCCATGGATTATCTATTTCACCATTATTTAACTTGTCATACTTAAAAGGGACCCTACACCTCTTTGGGCATTACTTTGGGGGAAAAGAAAAATAATTAGAAGGGATCTTATATTTATCTAATTTTTTGCAAATATGATAATATATCTAAAGGATAAATACTCCGAACGTTACTGAACAAAAGCAGCTCGTAGAAAGTAATTTATTGGTTGATGTTGCTCCAAGTGCTAATGTGAGTTGACATATATTCCAGTAAAAAACCGTAATTAGCTTTATAAGCACCCGTGCTTAACAGCATGATTACGAAACAGAAACAATTAGCCCTAAGGTGACAGTAAAATAATGCAAGAGAATCTATAGTAAATAGGGAAAACGAAGGTGATATGTACAATCAAGCAAAGTAAACTAGACGGTAAAAAAAAAATCTTAACGGGGTAAAAGCTAGTGTATATCGTGTTCATATTTCCTTGTTCTTTTTGTAGCTGGCTAGATAGCCATCAAATCAAATTCTATCCCCTTCGTTTTCAACATTTAAGGGATTAAAAGTTGCCTCTACCTTACGTGCCTGTATGTAGTCTGATCATAATCAATCATCTCGATGACCTAGCTAGCTGGCAACAAATGATATTGATCAATTTGGATGAAATACTTATCCTTTATTACAGAATAGCAATCATTGAAAATATGGGAGACAAGACTAATTAGTTTACATGTAAATCTCTAGTTAAGAGTGAAAAAAACAGTTGAATTCTGAAGGAAAATTTTCTATGCAAATAAATGTGTATTTACCTTTTTGTAGACACGGATTTAGTCAAGTTGTCATACTGAATGTGCTCTTTACTTTTGCATCTGAGTTCGAATCATCTTCTCATAATTTAGATTAAATCTCGTTTGTATTATAAATATATATAAATAATGTTTAAAATATCATATTTTCATACCAAATAAGTGACATAAAACGGCTGATGTGTATGATCAATCATGTTATGACTAGTAGCTATTATCACTTGGCACATGATGTGATCTGTTATGACTGGAAACAAGATTTTTATTGCAGGCATAGAGTCGTACTTTAGTGTAATTAGGCTTAATTAATTTTCTCGTACTCAACCCAATGTAATCTTATATATTTGCTTTCACAAGGAGAAGCATCGATATGAAAAATTCCTCAATTTCATTATTTTTCTATTTTTATATACCATCAAAACATATGTATTTCGTGATAAACATAATTATTTGAACTATATTTACGGACCAAGTTATGTAACTATGTGTTTGTTTTTTCAGAAAAAATAATAGTAGGATGGTGATTCGAATTTAGAATATTTTTCAACATTAAAAATATCACAAAACAAAGTGCTGGTTGGTGGTGTAGTGGTTAATAATAACTTATCTTTCTAAAGCCTACTTAGCAGCAGGCATGTCTTGATTAGTCATCATACACTTCCACTTAGAGTTTATGGCTAGAAACAGTCATATATCTTGATTAATCATCATGCACTAGCACTCACTTTACTGGTTTTGCTCAAAACCCAATTACCTTTCTCTTTTTAATTCAACAACTCACACTTTCTTCTCCCCTACACCGCGCTCAATCCAAACTCCTTTGCCTCTTTTCTTTTCTTTTTCATCCATGATATTACTGCATGTGCTTTTTCAAAACCAGGGGCCCCAACTTTTCTTCCCCTCAAAGACCTCCCAAAAATGAAGTTAACACAAACCAAAACGCAGTCCCTTTCCGTACTGAATCACGCCATGGAGTACTCATAAAGCGTACGAGCACTTCTCCACTATCATACAATACCAACCCCACTCACACAAATCATCTAATCTCATCTCCATTAAAATAAATCTCCAAAACAAAACACTTGCCTATATATAGAAAACCCTCCTCATAAATTATCATTTCTCTCTTAATGCTTTTTCAGGTCATCAAAAAATCAGATGAGAAAGGCAGAAAAAGAAGAAAAGAAGAAGAACAACTATGGAGAATTATGAAGTTCCAACTCGGCCTAATCTAGCTTTTCCTGTTGGCTTGGCTCTTCTTCTGTTCCTCTTGCTTAGCATCAGTGCCTTCTTCTTGTGTTGCCTCCATTGGGACAGGATTCGAGCTCTCATTTTTTCCTCTGTGGAAGACAACCCTGCAGATCAAATTCAACCAGAGTTGGATCAGAAACCTGCACTTCCTAACATGGTACATAAATTAATTTGGTTTTTTATTATTATTTAAATGAAGGGTTGTGATCTGATTGGTTTTTGTTTCCTTGTGCGATAGATGGCAAAGCAAAATCAGCAACAGAGCCTGCCAGTGCAGATGCCAGGAGATCAGGTGCCAAAGTTCATTGCAATTGCTTGTCCATGCGAGCCTCCAGTTAGGGAGAAGCTCACTGTGATTGTTCAGAAGCCTGCCTATTTCTGTGACGCCGCTACTGTATATATCTAGCTGGTTACTGTAATCTCCCGACCTCAAATTTGTTTTTGCTCTTTTCGTAGAGTTCCCAAAAATTGAAAATTGAGAAAAGGAAATAAAAGAGTATATATATTGTTGTACAATATTATTTGTCAAGAAAATAGTGCAAGCTACATATATAGATGATGAACACAATCCTGTTTTTATTTTTTATTTTTATTTTTTCTTCTCTGATTATATAACAGCCAAAGCCCTTTGGTCAGATTTCAATTTTAATCCGAAAAGAAAAAGAAGAAGAAAGCAACAAAAAATCATCATTGTGAATTATTTGCAGCATTCGATTCATTTTAATGGATTATCTGGAAACTCATCATTGTGCTTCAAAATCACAAGCATAAGATTCCCAACCAAACCAAGTTGGGGTGGCAGCAGCACTTTATTATCTCCTCCTCCATAATTGTTATGAATAATTACTGTCTCATCTAAACACAGCCGCATCTATATATTCTAGAATAGAATGGAATGGACAATCGTCAAGGCATTAAACCCCGGTATTAGAATGGATCCTAAGGAATTAGATACTCCGGGGAAGGTCTAAATATACAATTCTTACGAAGGCCCAATTTTGCTACCACAGCCGCTAATATTGATGAACAAAACTTAAAAGGAAGGGTTTTTTTATTTATTATTATTTATAAATATTTTATTTAAGATCTCGAGTGTAGGCATAAATGCTTTTGACTATTTAAACTATAGTTTCCTTGCAACTTATGGGGTTTCAGGTTTATAGGATTTTCTTTTGAGGCTATTTCAACAATTTTGCTCACTCTTTAGCTCATTTAATAGAGGTCTATGCAGGCATGAATGATTATTGTTATGTTTAATTTGATACAAACGATATTAAAGATGGGAAATCGAACACAAGACCTCGAGCACATTGAATAAACACTTTTAGCTACCTGATTTACTAATACCTTACCACATAAATGGCAATATATTACACTACTACTATTCTTGTCATCGTAATATATATATATATATATGTTGTTGTGGTAGAAGCACCAAGCCTTACGGAAACAACTCAAAATAATCAGTAGAATAATATAGAAAATAAAGTGCGCAAGAACAAGAAAATAACGAGACGCGAATTTAAGGAGGTTCCTCACAGGTAACTGGAACATGTCTCTAGAGTACTTGGAGCAGACAAATCTAGTATCAACAAATTGGATTGTTTATGAAGCATTTGGCAACCTCACAACCCAAAGCCTCAAATGCACCTAATGCCTCTCAATCAATGAACAGTTAATCACACTCACAACCAAATACAAACAGTGTGACTCTCTCGCATGATTCCAAATGGCGACCTCCACCCAAACAAAGATATAGGTTTCTCCCTAACCAAATGCCGTGGCTACCGACAACTCCTTACCACGTATTTGCAAAACAAAAAGGATTACGGAGGAGGACAAGACAAAACCTAAGCAGATATCTCTTAGACGACCAACTTAAAATGATCCATTTCATATTGGACCCAAACCATGTAGAAAGTCCAATAACAATCAAGCCATTATGGACAAACCTTTTGGTTAACAGACACCAATAAGAGATTTGAATCTCTAAGACTTTGACCAATTATAATTTTCTGTGTTATTAGATTCAATGTGATTGTTTACACTACAACATCTCTAATATCTGTACTTTACGAACCACTATGTAGGTTGTATAACATCAAGAGATTATCCAGATCGATTGTCCAATTAATGACGAAGTTGAAGAAAAAAAAGTGTAATACATCATCTGGAACATGATGCTTACTACGTAAGAGTTCTAGAAGTAAAAAACTAAGGTAAGGTTTGTACATCGATCCAAGAACCTTGTAGCTGCCTAAGAGTTTGGAATGCTTAGAAAATTTTAATTTGTACTGTTGTGATCAATTTTTGTCAAAGCAACAAATTTTAATAGACAACGTTTCGGAGGTGACGGAGTTTGCCCCTCTACTCTTTCTTAGACGTGCACACCAACTGTTTGAGGAAATGCCTAAGTGAAGCTTATGTTTTGGCAAATGTGTTGTTGCGTGCATCGCCTTTATTTATTTATTTAAGTTTTGGTATTAAAAAAAACGTCATTTTGGACCAAACTCTCAAAAAATAAAAACAATATGAAGCCTTACCCTCCACTCCATGGAACATGAGCAATAAGAGGAGTCCTGGATCCACTCTACTCCATGACATTGTTTTGATTTGTTTGTTTAACTGATAATTTGATTTGCGTTTTGATGAGATTAATTGATATTGATTTTTGTTTGATTAATTGTTATTAATTTTTGTTAGATTAATTGATAATTTGATATTGTGCTTCTTCTAAAAAAATTCATAAATACGCTAACTTACCGTAATATGAATACCTAATTCCACCCTTGCAGAGTTCGTACATCCTACAAATATAGACCCGATGTATCTGCATTGGCATTGAGAGGCTAGCTTATATATAAAGGAAGAACATTAAGAATGTTGAAAAATTAGAATAATTAAAAAATTAAAAGTTTAAAAAAAAAAAATTGAAGTTGGTGCTTCCTCATTTTCATGGAAAGGAATCATTGAAAATTGTGATGTGTTCATGTTGTGGCTACTACCGGCATTATATCTTTAGAAGTAGCTTTCAGAATCTCTCATACAGCACACGTGGGCTAAGCCTCTTCCGGTGGAAAAGGGTCCAGGGTCCTGGGTCCTTCGACCAAAAGGAAAAAGAAAACAAAGGGTCCAGGGTCCATGACCAAGGGCCGTGAACTTATTGCAAGAGTCGCAGGCATGTCACGTGGCTGACATTTGGTTTTCAATGGAGTGCCTGCCCATTTTGAAACATGGAAACAAGTCCTTTCTTCTACCACGCCCAAAAAACTTCTATGGACACCCAGTATTTTTCTAATGACAAATTATATATATTTTTTCAAAATTACTAAAAAGGGCTTGATGAACTTTTTGATAAGGTTCACAATTTCCCCACACACCCAAGCATGGGATGGTGTGGCTAGCCACAAGGTGCCACCACCATGACTCCGAAACACAATCACTAAACCGCTTCATTCTACATCAAGCACCCAAAAACCTCAAAACCATCATATCCCATATTTACCCAAATATACATAAATATAACATAATGGGGAGCTTATGAATAATTGTAATCTTAAAGGGAATTTAAATTATTGAGTTGTTGCAATTAAATTGCAAAAATCTTACTGTTTTAGTCTTATAATTGCTACAGAAAAAATGATTACTTTTGCTGGCACGAAATCTTTGCTCGTGGGGAAATACCTCGAGTGGTCATCTAAAAATGTTTGGGTTTATTTATACAGCCCTTTTTGTTTAATCGGGGTAATTATGTTAGATTTATGGTAGTAGATAGATATATAAAGTGAGGGCTATGTCAATATAGTCTAGTTCGGTGGAAAATAACTTTGATTTGCTGACTAATGACCTCAGGTTTGAACCTCCATATCACCTTAATAGTGTGTGTGAGAGAGAGAGACCCCCCTCCCCCTTAGAGTTTAAACTATCGTTTATACTAAATAATAATAAATAAATAAAGTGAGGGCTATTTTAGAGATATTGTAAAGTCACTCCCATAAGAAACTAATGTGTTGTTGAGTTGGATCGGTCCAAGTCAGCTGGAAAACGATTATATGTAGTTTGCAGGCCCACAAGGCCTCCTGAGATTCTCATTTGTCAAAGTGGTTTCATTGCTTTGCACCAAACTGGGACCATCGCTTGTGGCCGGAGACCGGCCGTGCACCATGTAAATGGCAGCATCCCGCAATATCCGTTCAGAAAACAATGTCTGACGCACTTTCTCGTTTGTTCGATTTATTTTACTTGCAATTACAATTGCACATGTATATTTTTTTACTTTCACTTTTTCTTTTTCTATTTATTACCCTTATTCTTTTTATTAATGAATATCGTGAATTACATATTGAGAAATTTTTCAATGTTGAAAAAAGAAGCATCACTAAACTAATACGTAAAGGTCATCCTTCTCACTAGAAGCTATTCCTACACTCACCACTATAACCTTCGAAAGCTTGTACAAATTATTAGATTGAATCTCTCCGCTCATAAACACAAATGAACCCTTCATAACCATAAATTTTTCTTATGTGTACCCACTTCGATCTAGAGTACCAAGGAAATAAGATTTTTCTCTAGTGAAGAAACATACCTCGCATTATCCAGTGACCTAAAATCCCATCATGCATCATGGTCCTCATTGTACAGAAACCAAGAATCTTGCAATCTAAATGATCCTTTTAACATCACCACCATCCTTTTCCTCATATTTTTCCAAAAAACAAAATCCAAGCCTGAGAAGTAGCATTACCCATAGAAATCGCCAAAGGTCTACAGTCACTATCTTTAGGAACATGTTATGTATTTGAGTATCCAGCTTTCTTCTTGTTCATTTTCTCCTTTCATATCGGACAACTTTTTTTTTTCAATGATCTTTAGAACCACACTCGAAGCAACTCGATCTATCCCTTAAATTTTGATTTCCCCTTGTTACCTTGTTTGCTATTTCGCTTATTTGGCTGACCCCTCTCATCATAACACTTAGCATAGACCTCTCCACCATGAGAACTTTCGCCCATTGACTGATTCATGAGAGATGGTATCATCTCTAGCACAGGATATTCGTACGAACCAAATAAGTCGGGATCCAAATCCACCTTGAAAAAACCAAATCCAACTAGGAATCCAATTCTGAGCACCATTCTTTTGTGTGGAGTATGCCCCAACCTTAGTATATACTAGCATTATTATTATTATTTTCCATAATCTATTATACACACCAACAATTTAATTTCTTGGACAATTCTATATACCTGCAGCCGCTTATAGCCAGATAATATCAGTCCATCCATTGCTTTTTATTTATTTATTTATTTATACAAGCGAAATTCAGAAAAGGGTGAATCAAAACTAAAATATCCGGTACATAAATAAATGCTCGTAACCATTTGAGTTACAAGTCCCTTGATAATCCGTCCATTGCTTTTATGAAAAAAATTTCAAATCACAATAAGGCAATGCATAGGGTGACAATGTGTGCTTCCCATGGTACATTGCCGTGAAATTTGAGGGAGTAGTTAATGTAAGTTGCAGGCCCCGCTGGCTATTCTATTCGTAGGCATAGCCACTGTTGGCCTAGCTAGCTAGC